AAGTACACACACCAGAATGTTTCCAGATTGCAGAAAGATCTTCACCACTTCATCCCTCCACCCATAGACATTCAGGTATACCTGCCCATCACCAAGAGCACCCACACAAATGTGTGCCTTCTCCTCATCTTACCCACAAAAATTCCTGGAGAGGGGGCAAGGGGCAGGAGCCTGGCATGAGCACCTCAGAGAGCCAGGCCCCTTGTCTCCTGAACTTCACTAATGTACTACCCATACGCAGAGATAAAAGTCTAGACAATAGACGACTGTTTATGGCAAGGAGGCTCTCCAAGTTTGGGGCCAGGCGATAAATCTCTTGCGAATCTTCCTGTAACTCAACTTCTGGCTGTAGAGAACCACTGAGACCACAGAGAGGAAGGCAGCTAAATGGGGGAGACGGCTTCCCTGAGGGGGCCAAGAATGGCTGACATGCCACATTTACCCCACTTAGGTCAAGCAGTAGGGCCACATTATGAAAGTTTTCAGATCAAGCTTCAGAAATACAAGTGAGTCAGGCGCCTGGTTACCCACCCTGGCTGGGATTCCCAACTCTGGAAATGAGTGTGAAATGTGAAGGCTGATGGAGCTTGGGACAGGTTTACAAACCTTTCTTGCAGGAGGCAAAGGTCTTTTTTGTTGGTGACCACAATCTCCTTTCTATGGTGGTCACCTGAATTTTTTCACCCCACACCTCCCTCCTTCCATGTCTCTTCTTTCCTTTTTGGATTGATTGGCTGTCCCCTTTTGCATTTTCAACCCAGGCATCTGATTACAAGCAAAGAACCACTGAAGTTGATCTCATAAAAATGCCGAGAGCTCACTTTGATCAGTTCATAGTGGGTCCGAGCCTAAGTAGGCGCTAAAGCCAGGGACTGGCGGCTCCAGCCAACCTGGCCTCTGGTTTGACCACAGTGAGGCCAGAGATTCGGGTGGTCCAGTGTTGAGAGGATCCCCCGGAAAGGGATTTTCAGTGCTGCCGCAACTGGGTTTAGGAACTGAGGCTTAGCCCTGGTAGTCGCAGCTCCATTTCCAGACTGTTTTTAAGACATTTCCTTCATTTTAGAGCATTTGGCGAGGGGGGGGCGGTGAAACTAGCTCATAAAATGGGGCTTTTATGGAGAGAAATGGGGTCTCTTAGTTAGCCTCCTGGGATAATCGCTCCGAAGAGGAAGCTGGGTGAGGCAACAGGGGTGCAAAAGCAGCTCTTAATTCCCCACCCCCACTCTATTAATGGATCTGAAGTACTTGGGAGCATTGGTCCACCCGCTTTGGTGGTCTGACTTGGCGACCTAGGGCTGAGGAGAGATAGGGACCATGAACCGGCAGCTCTTCTCCCCTTCCAGTTCTCTGACTGGGTTTGAGGTGTTTCTTAGGAGCAAAATAAATCGCTGGCCTGAGAATCCCAAAGTACACTGAAGGGATTATTAAATGCAGCGAGAATGTGCCAAGAAGGAAAAATATATTCAAAAAAGTACACACTAATTTCTAATGAAAGCTCTTCACTGCCAGCCTAGCCTGGGTAGTGTGTCCCTACTTGGGGTGGGACTCTGTCTGCTTATCTTTTGATTGACTCCAAGAAGGGCTGAACTCCCAGTCCTAGCCCCCCTAGTTCTAACAGGGCCCTTTCTCCTGCTGGCATTTTCCTCCCAGCTCACGGTCTGTGGGGTGAGCCCCTTTCCCTACCATTGTTTGTTCTCTAATACTCAGAACAGAACGGGGAAGGGAGTTAGACAAGCGGCAGGCAGCCCTAGCGCTGTGGTGGGGAGGCTGCCCTGGGAGTCCTTGAGATTGGATTTGGGAGACACTGTCCCCTTCTGAAGCTGTCCTTGGTATATAAGGAGAGGGTTCTTGAGTCCTTGGCCCTGCCCAGACTAACACAGCAGCCGCCCAGACGACAGCCGCCTGTAAGCTGGAAGGCAGGCAGGCAAGTGGTGTGACTGAGGCAACCAAGAGCTAGTGGATCGGGCATGACGATCCTGCTGCTACAGATTTCAGGTGAAAGCAAGATCCCAGGCAGGTGGAAGGGTCTGGTCTGAAGTGCCCAGAATGGGGCACTTACACTGTCTGGGCCATTGATGGGCTAGGAAGGAATTTGGGGATAGGTTCCATGTAGGGAGAGGCACTGCTGCCCTGACCCAGACGCATCTATGAGGGTGCAGTCTGGGGTAGGCAGCTCAGCCGCTACTCTACAACATGGACATTTTCCCCTATCATCTTTCCCTGACCCTAACAGCAACCGCCAGTTGCTAAAAGTTTTTACAGTTGTTGAAAATTTAAACGTTGGACCCAAACTAGGGGGTAGGGGGTGGGGAACAACTTAAACTTTGTGCCTTACTTTTAGGGAGGAAAATACTGCTTCCCAGAAGTCTCTGTTGGGAAACCACAAAGTTTCCTGGACATCAAATCCTGTGACATTCTTTCTTGCCTTTCTTTTTTGTCTCAAGGAAACAGAACAGCCGACAGCTCCTTGCAGTGGGCTGGCTCAATTTTATGGTGGCCCGGGAATAAACTTTGGTGGTCAAATTCAAGTGCTCAGGCCCAGAGTTGTCTCTTTACAGGAAGCCCCCACCCCCTTCCTCTGCCTAGGCAGTACGCTGCGGTGCAGAATTTGCCTTGGGGGCTTAGGGCCCCGCATATCCCTAGCAGCTAGGAGGAGGAAGGAAACCAAACTTGGTGGGGGGATGTGGAAAAATCAGGAGCTGAGATTCTGGGCCCTCACGCACACTAAAGATGGGGGATTCTCTTTTACTTTTCCTATCACTGTTTGGGGAGCATTTTGCTTCCAATAAACTCTAGTGTAATAAGGTCAGTGAGAACCCCATAAAACTATAGTCCATAGTTCCCCACCATTATAATTAAAAACGCTGGCCCCAGCTCGCCCTATAAAATGGGCTAGACTAAAGAAGAAAAGCAACAATTTTTCTTTTCCTGGCTCCTTCCTGACTGAGAAGTCCCACACCTTAGCATCCCCCACCTCTGTCTAGTTCTTTGCCCTAAGTTCAGATCTGGCCAGGATTAAAGAAGGGTTTGTAAACCCAGCACTAAGTGAACAGAGGGATGCTAGACTTCTATTCCTGCTTATCCCAGAATAACTCTGAAGTACCCACCCCAAGGAAGGGATCCATGTCTTAGGTGGAATCCATCCATTATTGTACTAAAGGCAGAGCAAGTTCAGAAGGCAGAAAGGTTATATTTGGAAACAAGATACCATTTATTTTTGTGTTCTCCTCATCTGGTTTTGGGGCCTCAGCACCTGTTTAATTAAGGAAAATCAAGTACCAAAAACTTAAAACAAAACGAAAAACTGGTGGGAACCAATTTTAGCCAAGTTAGAGGTGTCAAGAGAGTTGGATCATTTCTGAATTTTTCATCCTTGGTGACTTCAGTTCCTCCTACTCCTTCAAAAACAAATCATGCCCTCCCTGGTGGCACCACCTCAGATCCAGGGTTGCTGGTTGCTCTGGTCCTTAAGAATCAATATAGAGTCTTTCAATAAAGTAAATTGGCATCTGATTAGCTGTGTCCTGTGGTGTTCAGAGATATGGGTAGATAAAAAGAGGGAAGAACCGTCAGCCTCTCAGCAAACATGGGTAGAAATGGAGGAAGACATGGCAGGGATGAGAAACAGGAAGGACCACAGCAGCCTGGCTACAGCTCCAGGTAGACAGGTTGGGGACAGTCACTAGGGAGTGATCCCTGCGCTGCCTACCCAGACCCACAGCACCCTTCCATTGCCTTGCTAGTCTGACCTAGAGACACAGCCCTGGCTTCACTTCCCATCTACAGTCCCCCAAATCGCACAAGGATGAGAGTCCTATTCCCCCCTCCACCACCACCACCACTAAATCCTTCTGACCCACAGCTCCTTTTTAGCCTCCTGGCCAACTTTAAGGATCCCTGGTGGCACAGTGGTTAAAGCAATAGGCCATTCAAACCCACCAGCCACTCCACCATGAGAGAAAGATGTGGCATTTTGCTTCTGTAAAGATTACAGCCTTAGAAACATGTGGGGCAGTTCTACTTTATCCTATAGGGTGCTATGAATGGGAGCCCAGTTGACAACATTGGGTTTTGTTTTGGTTTTTGGTTTTTGGCAGAGATGAAGCCTCCGGACTCAAAGGGTTCAGACAGAAGATATATGTCTATCATTCTTAAACCTTTTTCTTTGGTGTTTGGAATTTTAAAATCCTCTGTGAATGTAGCTTTGTTCTCATTGATTGACAATAAAGACAGGCATGAAATATTCAATCTCTCATACTAAATATTTAACACAACATTAGAAAAGGTTTTTCCCAGACTTCACCAGGCACCGGCTAGGCGGCTGGCGCAGCGCTCTCCAGTCATTTATGACTAATTCGGAGTCCCTAGCCAGCAGCAGCACAGCACACCAGGCGAAGTTGGGACACAGGCTTGCAGCTGGGTTGGCTCACCTTTGGGAAACTTCAGATACTTTTCTCAAGGAGTCTCCCCAAAGGGGAAAGGAATCTTGACACCCAGCCCCAGCCAAGAGAAGAAGCAAAGCGACTTCTTCAAACTTGCAAACAGGCACTGACCCTCTGCCGATTGGAGGGCTAAGAGGTCCTTAGACTTAGGTGAGGGGGCTCACTTCTTTCCTGAAACCCACACGTCTCCACTGATTGAGAGGAGGCAAGACCACCCCCCCCATATGTGTAAGAGCCCACCTCCTTCCCTTAATCCTGGGGGGAAAGGGGGCAGCAGCTAGGAAAAAATACAACTACCCCCTCCCAGCAGCCGCCCCCGCCCACCGCCCACCCCACCCTACCCCAATCCTCTCTCTCCTCCTTTGCTCCTTCTGTGGAATGGAGAGGAGGGGAGTGACGAGAGAAAAACGAATACAAATCTGCAATTGATTTTCATAATGTTTCTGCGGTGTTTGCAAACCAATCGTCTGAACGTCCCCGATCTTACCTAAGAGAGAACCCCTCCTACGTCTGCGAAGTGCTCGGAACTGATATATGACAATATCTACTTTGGATCACGTGCTCGGGGAGAGAGCCTAAGACGGATAACGCGTCATCTCGCCTTCCCAAATTTTCCCCCCTCGCTAGACCGGGTCCAAAACCTCCATCCGGAGCCGGCAGGAGAGGAGAACGATGTTTAACTCGGTCAACCTGGGCAACTTCTGCTCGCCGTCTCGAAAGGAGAGGGGCGCTGATTTCGGCGAGCGGGGGAGCTGCGCCTCCAACCTCTATCTGCCCAGTTGCACTTACTACGTGCCTGAGTTCTCCACGGTCTCCTCCTTCCTGCCTCAGGCCCCCTCTCGTCAGATCTCCTATCCCTACTCTGCCCAAGTGCCCCCAGTCCGGGAGGTCTCCTACGGCCTGGAGCCCTCCGGCAAGTGGCACCACCGGAATAGCTACTCGTCCTGCTATGCTGCGGCCGACGAGCTCATGCACCGGGAGTGCCTGCCTCCTTCCACCGTCACAGAGATCCTCATGAAAAACGAAGGCTCCTATGGTGGCCACCACCACCCCAGCGCCCCGCACGCGGCCCCTGCCGGCTTCTACTCCTCAGTCAACAAGAACAGCGTACTACCACAAGCCTTTGACCGCTTCTTCGACAACGCCTACTGCGGCGGCGGCGACGCGCCGGCCGAGCCCCCCTGTCCCGGCAAAGGCGAGGCAAAGGGGGAGCCCGAAGCGCCCCCGGCCTCGGGACTGGCGTCCCGGGCTGAGGTGGGTGCGGAAGGCGAAGAAGAGACTACGAATCCCAGCTCGTCCGGTTCAGCCCACTCGGCCGCCAAGGAGTCGGCTAAGGGAGCCGCCCCCAGTAGGTAGCAGCGGACAGGGAACCAGCGGGCAGCAAGGGAGGGAGGGTGGAAGTAGGGGGGAGGCGAGGGGAGTGGGGACGGCCTCATGTTTTGGGTCAGTCGGATTTTATGTGGAGTTTTATAAGCATTCAAAGGATTTTATTATAACCTACAAAGCCCTCTCTCGCAACGACTCGACTTTTTACGATGGAGAAGGGGTGGGGAGGGAGGGAAAGGGCTCTTTGGAAAAGCCGGGTGAGCCCCCTCCCCGTTATCTCCCTCGGTCTGTGAAAATTTTAAAAGCACCACCATCGCGGGTGATATTCACTTTGATCGTGAACTTAGAGGAGCATTTCAGGAAGGATTGGGAGCCTGGCTGCCGGGGGTGGGAGGGAGGGGAGGGGTGGAGGGAGAGAAAGGGGAGGGAGAGAGAAAGACCCAGGGAGAAACCCAGAGAGGGGGAGAGCTGGGGAGGAGAGGTAATGGAGCAGAACCTGAGACCCGAGAGGCGAGACTAGGTCGTTCTGTTGCTTTTTAAAACTATTTTTGAAAATGTGCAAACTATGAGTCCGAGGGTCCTAGAACAGAAAGCCAAGCAGCTGGGGGTCGGCGGCAGCAGGAGAATGGGGTGAGGCGACTTAGGGCTCCACTCCGCTCCAGCCCAAGGGTCTCAGCCTTTCTCCCAGGTTCGCAACCTCGGCGCTGGCCTAACTCGGGAGCGCGACCCGGGGAGTCAGGGCCCAGAAAGCGGCCCGCGGGTGTCTTTGGTGTCCAATTGCTGGCTTTCCTCTCGCCTCCCATTGCTCTCGCCTGGTGTTATCCCTTCTTGGCTCCTGTTCTTCGCGGTTCCCCCATATTTCTGGGGGAGGGAATGGTGGGTGTTCAGAGCCACTAGGAAGGAAGAGCGGGAAGGGGCAAGGGGCCGCCGTCGCGCAGGCAGGGGGTCCATTGGGAAGCACGTGGTCTTGGTTGGTTTTCCTTCTCCCTCAAACCCTGACTCGCTTTGAAAAGGGAGAGCGGGTCCCATAGTAGTCCGGGATCGAGCAGGGTGGTCGCGGCTTCCCTAGACACTGGGCCCGCGCGAGGAGAGTCCGCCGGCCAGGCGGAAGGGCTGCCTAGCAGTTGGGCTGGCTGAGCGCTTAACGGGCCGAGGTCGCGGGGATCTCACGTGTCTCTCCCCTTCTCCTCAAACTTGCCCCCTCCCCCCTCCAGACGCCCCCCGCTCCCGCAAGAAGCGCTGTCCTTATTCGAAATTCCAGATCCGGGAACTGGAGCGCGAGTTTTTCTTCAACGTGTATATCAACAAAGAGAAGCGACTGCAGCTGTCCCGGATGCTGAACCTGACAGACCGACAAGTGAAAATTTGGTTTCAGAACAGACGGATGAAAGAAAAAAAACTGAGCAGAGACCGGCTGCAATATTTCTCGGGAAATCCTCTACTGTAACCCGCAGACCTGGCCCTTTGGGGGGAGGGGGTGAACGGGGAAATTATTTTATTTTATTTTTATTTTTAATTTTCTAACTCGCCTTCTTTCCGCGGGTGGAAAACTGGACTATGGCCAGGGCCGGCCCCCACTCCCGTGGCCGGCATTTCTTTCTGGAATCTCCTTCACCTTCGGTCTGACTCTCTCCTTGTGGGATAGGGACCAGACTGGAAAGGGGGTGAAGGGAAGTGTCTCACCCACGACGAGTGGACACCGTTAGCGCTAAGGCCAAGACTCTTTATTTTAAAAATATATACACCTCGCGACAATGTCTTGCTGCTCTGATTGGGTGGGGAAAAGGGAGATAGTAGTGGGCGCCTGAGATAAACAATCCTTAATCTAAAAACCTTTCCTTGCCCAAGTGACAAGATCTGCTAAGGCTGTCTTTGTGGGCTCTCTGCCCCTACCCCATCTCGCCCCACTGCTAGGGGGCAGCTAAATGTGATCCTGCCTTGCTGTGAAATTTCTGTACCTTCGACCTGGTGTTAGGTGTGCAAAGTTCGTGTCCTACCTCCGTCTGCGCCCAGGCCCCACCCGAGTCTAGTTCTCCCTGAAAAAGTCCTCCTTTGAAATTTCCCAACTGGTGCATTGAGGTTTCCCAATATTTTTTCCAAGCTGTGCCCCACTCCGTGGATTTATAGCTATAGTCTATGCAGTTGTTTGTTTGTTTGTTTTTTAAGAAAAAATAAAATTGGGGTGGTGGCCACAGTAAAGAGATGAGATTGGGTGCTCCCCCCTCCCAATGCCTGAATTTTTGTAAATACATTTCACAAGCTTTTCTTTCTACCCTGAGGGCCAGGGGGTGGGGAGGAGAAGGCTCCTGGAATGTGATTCAAATCATTCATCTCTCTTCATGTGCGTGAGTGCGTGTGTACGTGTGTGCAATCCCCGCCTTGCTCCCATCACAGAGGGATTGATGTGAATTTTTTTTGTGGCAAATAAAGATATTTCATTCTGTTCAATATTATTATTTTATTTGATCCTTTTATTAGCCTATCTTTTCTTAAAAGCCTCAGTATTCCCAAGGAGGAGGAGGAGTAGCTACGGGAGGCTGGCTGGCGGGAGCCTAAAGACTGGCTTAGGCCTGAGTTAAGGGCCTGCACCACCCCTGGTTGGCAGGGGGGGGGGCAAGAGTGTGGCAGTCCTTTCCTTCCACACTTAAGCTGAGGACATTCCACAGCTACTCTTAAGTTCTCCTTTCTCACGTGCAGCTCAAAGTGTGTCCAAACACCCAGCGGATGCTTTCCATTTAAGTACACATTTGTTATGGAGTTAATTGTAACCATCATCGAATTTAAATTTATAGGAATTTTCTTGGCTCCACCACCCTCCTGCCAGATGTCTCCATCTATCACAGTAAAATGTGCAGGGTTTGGGATAAGGTTTTTCGTGGGGTTTGTGTGTGTGTGTTTCCCTCTATGAGATGACTGTAGTGGGATTTTTATATACAATTTTTAGGGAAGGAGGGAAGAGGAGGAGAAAGCAGCTCCCTCTTCCTCCCTGAGGCCCCTGTGTGTGGGAAGGTGGGGCCAGGCTGCTTCCCCTCAGGCACAAATGGCCAGGTTCCTCCAGACACAACAGGCTATGGCCACCAAGATGTTTATATATGGGGTCTCCCAGAGTAGACAGTCCCAGAGATTTGTTTTATAGGGGTTGGCATAATGAGGGATGTTGAGGAAGGAGGTGACCCTCCTGGGGACAGTCACCACACCCATCTATATTTGCTGCATGTTTCTTCTGTACAAAGATAGCCATGGTCCTTTTAGCTCTTTCAGTGAGGGGATTTAGCAATTGTTTTTGATGGCAGGAAACCTGCAATTGTATCTGAATCCTTAATTTGTAAATACGGGTGCTGAGACAAGATACTCAAACTGAGGTGAAACAGGAGAATAGCCAGCCCCACAGTTCCCTTATGTACCCAAACAAATATTTTATTGTAGTCAATGGATCTGGGGGTGCATATGAGAACAAATATGATTTATACTCTTGTTGTCTGCAATATGGAGTAAATGTGAACACATGCACATCTAGGGCTTGTATTCACTGGTGTGTATGACCACCTACAGTGTTTATTGCAGGAATGCAACTGAAGTGTGTGAGAGAGAGACTTCTCCAGGTATAACAATTGTCCATATTGGAGAACATTAGCAGGCCAGCCATGCTTCCTATAAAATGCAAAGAGATAATTCTATAGAAGGAACTGGTTTATAAAACAAGTCATCTCTTTAAAACTCCTGATTGTGGAGAAAAATATTTAAAATCTGCAGCTACCACTTTCTTTGCAATGTGCAGACCCAGAAAAGTACCCCAGTTCCAGGAGGGGGTTTTGAAGGATGGAGGGTCATCCTGAAAGAAAAACCGAAGACTTCTGTGACCCAGGTTTGAGAATCTGTTAGTCCTCAGTAATCCTCTAAAAAGGGGGGGAAATATGGAATCTCTTCTCCTCAAACAAACCCACCTTTGGACCCCAGGATGTCCAACCCCCCTTGTGGGTCAGGGGCACTCTGGACTCAGCCTCTTAGGGTAATCCCCTCCAGCCACGGTGCTGCCCTGGAACAAAAGATCTTCGTCTAGACGGCACCATAAAGCAACCCCCCCTCCACCTTGCCTCTAAACTCAGTTTCATTTTGCCCTTAACGACCCAGTCTGGCCTGTGTTAGAAAATGCTTCCGCCCTAAATAGTAAACAAATCTGTCTTGGCTCCCACAACACCCCCCCCAAACCCCCCTACACCTCATCACCCATTACCCACATTTTCCCTCTTCTTGTCCAGGTTTTCTAAGTTCCCAGTTCCCCAACCCCCTCACCCTCACTCCTCCCAGTAAATAAACCGAGGCCGAGTTCAAAGTTTCCCGGAGCTAAGGAGGAATGCTGGTTGTAAAAATCCAAGTTTATAGTGCACGTGGGAGTTTACAAGGGTATTAAGAGATGTGGGCTGAGAGAGAGCACTGTGGGCCACTCCCCCTCCCTCTGTGGACTTTGGGGTGCAAATGAAACCTGGGGAACTTGAAAATAAAAATGGGTTGGGGATAGCCTTGGGTTGGGGGTTCCTTTGTCATCAGACCCCCAGGTTGTTGGGAGAAGGACAGCACAAGGATTTTCAAAGAAGACTCAAGACCCTCACTTAGCATCTATGAGAGCGAGCCCATAAGTTGGCTCCAGGTGTCCCAGATGGAGGAGCTGGGTGAGTCCAGCTTTGGGGGAAGTGAGAAAGTGCAGACCAGGTGTACAAAAGTAAGTAGAGTTGGGAATACCTGGAGCCAAGGCTAGGTTGGAAAAATCTACTTTGGGTTAATATCTCTTGAGTGGACTGAGGGCAGAGAGAGCTTTTCACACCAGGGCAAAGAAGAACTTTGAACTTCAAGGGAGTCAAGGTCGCCACCCACTCCTCTACCTCCCCGCCCCCTAAGGAATCTGCAGGACAATTCCTTTCTGGGTCAATATTTCCTGAGGGGGCAGCCCCTGGGGTTTCCTGGTGCTCCAGGAATGGATAATATTGTTTGCTGCACCCTCTCTGGTAACAGTTCCCCAGAATTGTGTACACACACGCGACTACACTCTTTATTATTCATATAAACCTTTGGAAGAGGCAACGCCCTGGGAAGTTTTTATAACTTTGTTTGGCATAAAAATTTTACAAGAGTTCCCTCACCCCTCCCCCCACTTAAAAAAAAAGTTAAAAGTTTTGGTCTTTCTATGTAATGAAATCTCAGGATTTTTGTGAGGGAGAATAAAGAGAGACTTTGGGGCCTTGGGAGAGGGGTTAAAGTTGCTTCTTTCTGCCTAAGGAAAAAGAAACTTTGAAGGCCGGGGTCAACCCTTTCTGAACCTCACCTCGGATCTGGTTTTGGGGGCTGCAGACTATATAGACTTTGCTCTTGAGATGTACACACTCACAACAGCCTAAAATTTGGATAAATATAGATGTCATCTTCTGGGGTTGCCTAACAATGAGATGGAACTTAGACTGGTAGGACTAGACCTTTCTCTGACACACACACACACACACACACACCCCATACACACATCCCAATCCAAAAAGTGGAGACCCCTAACTCTGTCTCAGACTGGCAGTTTGGGAGGATCCCTGCAGACAGTCCTGTATTCCCGCCTACTGAGAGACAACAATGGGTTTGAAGAAAGCAAGGATCTAAAAGGCCAAGTAATTCCTGCCTAAAGGTTGAAGGAGGAAGAAGAGACGAGAAGACCAGCACTTGCCCAGCTGCAGTGGTCTGGGAGTGTGGAGAACAAAAGTGCCACCGATGGATGTGAAGACATGGCCTTGGGCTGCCTAGCCAAGGAGAACCTTGGACCTGCCCCCACCTGAGACTGACCGAACTTCACTCCCTCATTTCCTCACACTTGGGGGCACTAACTGGGCTCAAAGGAGGCCATTTTAAGTGCTGAGCAAAGGCAACAGGACAAAGATGGGGCAACTTTTCCAAAGGCAGACCTGGCTTACAAGGTTCATTTGGGGAAATGGAAGTGAAGTTACCTGACCAGAGGAACGGTAGCTTCAGGGAGTCATCTGTGTCCGTGGGAAAGGGACCCAGAGTCGGATGCTTTTCTTTTCCTCTAATGGCGATTGCTGAGGCCTGGATGCTGGCTGCCAGGAGACAGTCCTACATTTCTCCTTGTGAGGGGTGGAACTAAGACTGAGACACCGGGAGAAGGTCAACTCCAAGCCTTAGCAGTGGGGCTGAGGAGGGATGCAACAGAGTCTGGCTCTTTCCCCCTCGTTGAACCCAACACAACAGGAAAAAAAAAGAAGAAAGAAAGTCAAGGGGAATGGAAGAAAACAAACAGGCAGGAAAAGAGCAAAGATGAAACCGTATAATAAAGAAAGATGAAAACTACAGAAATCAGTGGGCCAATGATTTTTTTTTTTTTTTAAGCAAAGGATAAGAAAAAGAGATGGGAAAAAAGAACTGCAAGGGTAGGGAAAAGGATAAGGGAAGAAAATTAGAAAAAGAAAAAACGCAAATAAAGAGAAAGAGTGAGAAGATATAAACAAAAAAGAGATGGAAAGCCAAGCAGCATTGGTGCTTAAGCTTCTGTTTAGGGCTCTGAACCTTGGAGAAAGAATTTAGCGGATGAAGGAGGAGCAGGGGTTTCCTCTGGAGCAAGCCAGCCCCACCGCACCCTGGACTGTGCCTGAAAACCGGACTTAATGGGGGTAACTTAAAAGCAAACCATGAGGGGGGGACACCCCCCCAACACTTCTCCTATCAGTTTCCTCCTCCCAAAGCTTCTCTCCGAAGTGTTTGCTGTCTGGTTTCGATTCAGGAGACAAAAATTAAGTATCTGATGGGCTTAGGAAGGACCAGGAAGCAGTCTGACAAGCTCGGATTCTCAGACTTGGGATACAAGGGATCAGGTCATAGGAAGCATTTGGCGTAAAAGTGAATATTTGTGGCCGGGCACATACAATTAAGTGCGAGTTAGACGCGTGTATGGACTCACAACTCTAGAGCATCTGGGCACAAGTGTCTACAATGTCCAGATGTGAGAGCCGACTCCGTTGGCTGGTCTGCCTGGGCGGCAGCAAATTCCAGAGTCAACCAGACGCCACTCCAAGCTTCTCGGCTTTCTTCGTCTTCTTATACCTGTTTGAAAATCTTTTTTTCAGTGTCTCTGAAAATTGCCAGGGATTTCCCAACTTCCAATTTAGCCAGGGCAAGAGGCCGGTGCTGATGAAGAAGAGAAGCAGAGCTTGCCTTCACATTTTGGGAAGAGATTGATCTATCGGAGCCTCCAAAATAAGAGGGGGAAAAAAGAAACGAAACGAAAACGTCAGCATCCACCACGGGTTTGATTTGGTTTTCCGTTTTGCTTGAGGAGATTTCAATAACCACATTTAATTTTTATTTATTTTATTATTTTACCTCTAAGGGAGAAACACTTTATTTTTCACTTCATTTTTGAATTTTCCCAGATGACTTCCTTAACCTCAAAGAGAAAC